GGGGTCAGTGTAAGTTTTTTCTATTTGAAAATCGAAGTTGTTGTTGAAAAGGATGCATACCCCTGCTTTATTGCTCTTATAAGTACTAAAAATAGCTTGATAGCCCCATTCAGCAGACCATACGTGATTAGTATTTTCAGTGCAGTGGACTTCTTGTAGCATATATGCCGAGTAATTTTTTTTGCGAAGCCAATTAAACACCTCTCTACGCTTTGTATTGTCTCTTAATCCCCTGACGTTTAGTGATGCTATTGTCAAAGCCATAGATATTCTCTTGGGCAGCTTTGCAGAGGAAGCCTTGCATCACCTGGTGTCAAAGCTCCACAATCACTGCACGGTATGATAGGAATTTGTACTAGGCGTTTACTTCTAAAACAAATGATTAAGCTATTAAAACATAGAAACCAAACAGAACATGCACAGATAAACACAACTAAATAAGAAACCTCTTCGTAAAGGGACATGGGGGGGAAGCTAGGACTTTTACCTAGAATCTTACAGACAGATAAGAAAAACCGAAGCGCCATCTGTTACGAACCTCTATTCCGATCGCCTAAATAATTATCTAGCAATTGATAATAGCAATTGTGCACTCCGTCTTATAAACTTTGCCCAAGCAGGGGAGCATGCAATACCTTTCTTCCTAAAATGAAAACTGCTACAGATAGGATTGCTATACTTGGGAAAAGTCTCCAATTTAATGTATGTGGTAAACACGAGTTCTGTTCCAATTAATTTTTCGATTTTGCTCTTAAAGTCTCCAGAGTTCGATCGTATAGAGTAAAGTCATCAATGTCTGGGCATTTTTATGGGAACAATTCGCACTTTTAAGTATTCAAAGAAAGGCCTTTTCACGAGTTGGTGTTAAAATCTGGGATGAGATACCAATTTATCTTGAAAAACTCGTTTAAAAAATCAATTTAAGAATAACTACTCGAGTTTCAGAATCTGGAAACTCCTATGTTGAATTGGATGCGCTAATTAATTTAAGTTTAGTTTGTAGCTTTCCTCTTGAGATATTGTTCTTTTGTTTTTAATCGTTTTCTTCTTAATTATTCTCCTTTCCTAATATTTTTAAAAAAGTATGGAGTGTTACGCGTACGTATGTTACAGTTGTATGTTAAACAAGAGAGAATGATCTAAGAGAGCGAATCCCCCATACATGACCTTCTTCCCATGAAAATTATTTTCAATCTATTCTTAGTTCTGTGTCATACTGCGTGATTATTTTAAGGACGCCACCTTATTGGTCGGTTAGAGTGGCGTCATGTAATTTTAAACTAGGCGGGTAATTCATTTCATTGCCGATCACGCATAGCAAGCGATATGACGTGCAAACTTGGTATTACTTTCGTCGACGAGTCAAAAGATTTAAACGTGGAATAATCTGGCCAGAGTAGCTGACGAAGAGCAAAGCGGTCCAGGCTTGTGGGAATTCGGCGGAGAAAGCGGTTCCGACTCGACGAAAACTGCTTATTGAGGTCTTCGCTACATCAATATATAAACAACCAACATCCTAGTATGAATGTTTGGCCGCCAAACATTTAATTTTGAATTTTGTGAGGACGCTAGGCAAATGTGGGCACACCGCTCACTATAAAAGAATTGACCGAAACCGGAAACCGCGCATCAAAACTCTCTGGCATCCAGGTTGGCGACTGTTTAACAGCTTGAAGCATCTGACCTGAATTGTGTTTGCACAGCGAAATATTCATCGCAAGTATTAGACGTTAAGAAGAAACTCTCAAGAATAATTCTTAAAAGCAAATGTACAGTTTCCGAACGAAAAATATTCCTGGAAAAAGAGAAAAAAATGTCTTGCACATTTGCATAAACAATTGAAGCCAGCCACTTAATAAAGGTTTCGTGTTTCGCGCTGATAACTTTTGCCTCTTGCTTTCACAGTGTGTCAGAATTCAATATTCGTTACTTTAAATGAGGCTACCAGCCGTTAGAAAATCTCAATCTTTAATCTCAAAGCGAAATTTTGACTCCAATAATACAATCCCTTTGTAAATGAAATTCATTCCTAAATTATGAGCAGAAAGCGCTGATCAAACACATGTCATCTCCTGGCGCTAATTACTATAATGGCTGTCAAACTTCAAATATTTGGCGGCGAAATATGTCACGTTCACGTGAAAGTAGACCGCGCGGGTCACAGAAACAACAGACAAAAATAACCTTCACAGCACGCGCGCGAACTTTAAAAAGATTTTAAGAAATTATCATGGGGCACAGGGATTCGCTCTCTTAGCTCATTCTCTCTTGATGTTAAATGTATATTTCCCGTATGAAAATATGTACATTCATGAAGGAAAATTACCTGTGTACAGTCTGCCTACCGCGATTGCAGTAAAAGTTAAACATTACAGATTAAAAACGCCCACAAAATAATTATGAATCTTCTGACTATATTTTGTTATTACAATCAGAAAAAAACAAACAAACAAACAAACAAAAAAAAAAGGGACTTCCGCCTTTTCACGTGTCACAAGCCCCCCAACAAACCTGTCACATTTGTGTCAATACGAACAGAATGAATGAAAAAACAAAAAACAAAAAAAACAAAAACATTGTAGTGATGAATACCTTCAAAATCTCATCGGATTTTAGGATTTTTCACTGCTCGACAGCTGAACATCGACAGTGAATGAAAAGAATTTTAATTGCAGCCTTCGAAATTACTAAAATCTAAGTCCGGATTTTTTCATCCGAAAATAGATATTTCATTTCTTTACTATAATCCAAAAACAGAGATTATTGATCCAAATGGTGGATTCACTGGATCTTACCCAAAACCGGATACTTAAAATACATGATCTGAAGCATTTCTTGTCCACGGATCCTTTAGGAGTGACTACATCAGCTGTTTAACTATACTGTTCATGGAGACTGGGAAGAGCATGATGGCCGACAGTCGCAGAAAAATATCTCTCTGATTCCTTCATTCGGAAAGGGACAGACGCCGCTATATAAACACCCTCTGATCATATAATCATCTTTAAAACAATGTCTAAACGGAATCAACGTGAAACACGTTCTTCGAGTTCATCCTCTTCACAATATCAACCATCGCCGAAACGCTTGCTCCGCGATGGGACGCCAGGTAAGGACGACGATCACGTCTCACTCGGCAACATTATGGATAGGTTGTGTCATTTGGAATCTCGAATGGAAGACCTCTTCGGCAGTCTAAAATCCGAGCTATCATGTCTTAGACATGAACTCAACGAAGAAATTGAGAAAGTAAAATCGACAGTAAACGATGTGGAAACATCATTGAACGCGGCGTGGGACACAATCAAAGATCTCCAAGATGAACTAAAAATACACGCAGAATTCCGAAAGAAACATAAAGAAAGTTTGGAAAAACACGTCGAGGACAATGGTGTTTCACAAAGCGCTAAAGCGAAAATTGCTCTGCAGGAGAGTCAAATCAACCTTTTAAATACGAAGGTATCCGAAGAACAGGAAAAAATCATCGCACTGGAAAACTACTCTCGCCGAGAGAATCTCCGATTTATGAATATACCGTAGCAAGAACACGATAACTGCATTGACACCGTTTATGATATCGTCGAGAACGGATTGAACATAAATACACAGAATATATACTTTCATGCTGTCCACAGAGTCGGTAAGCCACGTTCGCCTGAGGACTCCCATCACCATCCCCGACCCATCATTGCGCGTTTTCTCTGCCGGGAAGATAGGGACCGTGTTCTTAAAGCGAAAGGAAGATTGAGACACTCCACGGATTATCCAAACGCGTATATAACTTAAGACTATGCAAAGGCGATACAGCTCGAAAGAAAGGAACTAATTAAAGCGATGTTCATAGCGCGGAAGAAAGGCGTGAGCGCGAAAGTAGTGGACAGAAATCTAGTAATAAATGATAACGTTTATCATGTTGGTGACATACCCGACGAACTTAAACCTGCAGCTGAATCTACACGCTCGTAGAAGGTTTTCTTTACTCAGGTCAGTACAACTCGATTTTTCTCAGTTGCCTTTTCATTAATTGCTATTGCAACCTTTAAGACTGAGACTAGTGCTCCACGTTTGCTTCGCCGTTTGCACACAACGGATTCTTTCCCTTTTGTATATTGTAAGTTCTAAAGTTAAACTATCTGGCGTTCCGTCCTTTCCGGATTCGTCGATCTTTCTGTTTCAAGGTATGCTCTCCCTAAGCCGCTTAAATTTTACCTTTTTTTGTTTTTGTTTATAGTTTTATGTTTCCAGTGTAGCCGTTGTTTTATTTTCTCGGTCAGTAGAAAATATTTTTCAGTCCTACGAAGTGTTAACTATCGTAATTTGCATTTTGTTTCTGCATTCCAGTTCACTACTTTTAATCATCAACAAGTTCCCATTTGACGAATTGATAATCTGTTCTCTTAATGTGAGGGGCTTATCCAACAACCTTAAGAGGCGAGAAACCTTTCGTTGGCTTAGAATGAAAAAAATTGGAATATTCTTTCTTTCAAGAAGTCCACTGCACCAAAGAAAAAGACCGACTGTGGTCATCAGAATGGGGCTTCTCAGCTATTTTTAGTAGTGTTTCTAGCTCAAGTGCAAGGGTATGCATTCTGTTTAACAACAATTTTCAACTCGAAATCAAGAAACAATTTTCTGATCCAGATGGAAGATTTATTTTAGTAGATTTGAAACTTGAAAATAAAACTATAACCTTGGGAAACATTTATGCGCCAAACGATGACAATCCGAATTTTGTTAAAAACGTTCTCAGCCACCTCCTCTCTTTCGAGTGCGAGGACATTATCCCGGGTGGCGATTTTAATCTAGTATTGGACGTCCAAAATGATAAGAAGGGAGGAAGACTGAAAGCATGAAACTCTGAGTAGCAAGTAAATGTTTTTGACCTAGTTCAAGTCTACGTATCTATCTATCTATCTATCTATCTATCTACCTATATATATATATGTCTGTGTTTCTATTTTTCCGTAGTATATAAATATTGGAAGTAGGAAAAAAACTACACTTTCATCCCGACAAGCCTGTTTCGTGATCTCTCACTAGTACATGAGTGACATGAAATGGTCAAGACGGCATGAACAATTTGTGGTCTTGAATGATCTGGGCGAAGAAGAGGAACTGGACGTTAGGGGTCAAGTTATAGTATTACCCGAAGATGTGAAAATTGATCCAGTTATTGACCTGTATATTCTCCGAACAAATTACTTTGTGGAGTACCTACATTTTGACAATAATGGAAGACTAGATGGGTTTCTCGCTCTTAAAAACAACATGTACGCATTAAACAACGAATATAACACCCGCAAGGATATTTGTAATAAATTATATGACAAGTACAAGACAAATGACTTTGTTTGGTCAAATTAGAGTTACACAAATCTTGCCACCAGCTTATGCAAACAGATGCGTGGTTATTTGCCTGAGAGTAAATACGACACAAAGACAGCACAAGTGCTAGATGACTTCTACCCCTGTGCACTACAATGGTGTAGTACAAGTAAACAGCCAGATAATCTTGTCTCATTAGACATTTCCAAATGCTATCCCTCAATCTTGATTGATAACAAGACACCAATCCCAGTTTACATAATACACGATGTCCCAGAGCCATTTACGCACCGCAGTCAATTGAACTATTATGGGGAATTTTACATTGATGAATATGTAATACAGCGGTTTGATGCTAATATCAAAATCGAAGCCGGATTTTACAGCAGGGACTTAGTATGGCACCTTGTTAACAATCTCCATATGACTGTGAAAGGTTTGAACCCAGGAGTCATTTCAAAAGTAGGTTGAGTTTGATCGTCCGGGTGAACGTAGTCCTGAATAGGACTGTTGTTCTTGACAGTGACTGACGTTTCGACAACCTGTGCGGTAGTCATCTTCAGAGTCAATGTGAGTTCTATCACGTCCGTTGATGGTATTATACTCTGGTTATTGATCTGATTGGTCAATTCGTCGTGATGTTATTGGTCGTCTGTCAGTTAAGCCGTGATGTTATTGGCTATGAAGACTCGTAATCAGTGATTGGTGCGTTTCGATCCGTCTATTGTCACAGTCAAACAGTCGTCTGTTGTTAGTCAAATCGTCAGTTCTCCAGTCGTTCTCTCGTAGTTATTTTTGCTTAATCTCGTCAATAAGTTGTTTTTACGGCGCTGGTAACTGTTGGCTACGATTCAGTGGCGTTTGTGCTAAGTTAGTAAACCAGCTTTCTAAAGTAAGACGTTGATAGTAGTCTGTAGAATGCGTTATACATGTTGCAGAGCCCCAGTCAATTTGATGTTTCGTCTGTAAATGGTGCTCAGCAATGTGATTATTGACGTCACCATTCCTCGTCGCTCGTTTGTGTTCGGTCAGTCGCGTGCTTAGGTTTCTGCCTATTTCACTAATGTAAGAAGACTGGCAGTCGCAGCATTTGATCTTGTATACTGGTTCTTGTCTGTCCTCTGGTTTGTCTCCATATGCCAACCAGTAATGTCAAATGGTGCATTACCACTAAGAAGACATTAAAGCCAGACACATTTTGTAATTTCATGATGCACATTTTTGACACATTTACAGAGGCACAAGCAAACTTACTTGTGAACTCATTCATTGGTGAGTTGGGCCGCAAATACACACGAACAGAAGACGGGTTCACTTGTAGAGACATGGACACCGCACAGTGTATTTGGACATCCGCGCTTGCTGAAGGCAGAGACATTTTCATTGACAGCTACAAGAATCCATCAACAAAAAGGAACTATTTCTATTTCTATACTGCAATGCCTCAATTTGATATAAGATGATTGGACCAATGAATCAGACCTGTATAGTGTCAATACAGATGGCATTCACATGACCAACTCCAAGAAACAATAACCAAACAATAAAGATGTTAAATTTGAGACCAAGAATATTGGTAGCGTATATACGTATGATGGAGTTTAAGATTAAGCATATAACAGAGGATGGCAGCATGTTTACTATAGGTGGGCATACATTTGAGTACAGTAAATTTATCCAGTGTTTCATCCCAGCATTTTACTGTACTGTATACAAATATCAGGGTGCAGAAATTGACGAACATTACAATATTTATAATGTGAACCGAATGGACAAGAAGCAGTTGTAGTAGTGAAGCAGGCTATAATTGGTACCGACCAATCAGAGCGCAGCAAAGATAATAGAAGTATTGTTGGAGAGGGTCACGTGACTCATTAGCATACGAAACGTCATCAACTTGTTCACGTGACCTCTCTCGACCAATCAGCGCGCAGCTCCCTGGCATGGGGAAAAGAACAGACGCACACAAGTTCTGACCTTGCAAAAAATCATTTTTTTAATCAACATCTCGAGTGGAGCCTGGTAACAAGCGGGACGTGTGTGACGTCCGAATGACGTCACGCCCTTTTTACAAATCTAATAGGAGATCGAGTTCATTCCCAATCCTCTCGTAACCATAGGGATAGCTCGACCGGGTGGTCACATTGATGACGCGCTTGTCAAACACCAACCCATACTGCTTCACGCGCGGAACCACTTGAATTTGTTTCTTTTCTAGATCCCTTTGAAAATAATAGGGGGTGACAATGTTCAAATTTCGGCGAGAGTCCTGAGGCGAGTCTAATTCCGAGAGAATATTGTCTTTCATCGTGTGAAAATTGAGAATAGCAGAACCGCGGACGTTTAGGGTGAAACCGCGTACCTTGCACACCACGTTACCCTGTCGTGTCGTGTACCCATAATTCTTAGCGCCCCCAGAAACAAACTCGGTGATGACGTCCCCGTCCAGTTCATCCGTCATGTCCCCCAAAAAATCACCCGTGGTAATGGAGGGTTGACCGGGACGCCATCGATAGATCACACTGTCCGTGTCATAGTAAAGGACTTGCTGTTGAAGGGTGTCCAACGACTCGTAGAGCTTTAGTCGAGCATGGCACGTGGTGAAAGCCGCCATAAAGATGTTGGTCTTGGTGCCTTTGACGGCATTGCCTTGGACACTGGTGTAGACAGCCTCTAGGATGTCGTCAGTACAGAGACGGAGAGTGCTGATATCGAGAGCAGCGTCGGAGATGAGTCTGAACAAATAGGCGGGGTTTTGGACAGTGACGGTGGTGGGTTTGTTGATACGCTCACCAAACTTACCCCAGAAACTGTTCAACATCAGTTTGGCGGTAGCCTTGCGACCGGGATTTTTGGCAATGCTGGCGATGTCCAGTCGGATACCCTCCCGTTCCTGGTAGCGAAGAATATACTCTCGTTTCTTCTCGAGGGTCTGACACCAGCTGGGCCACCCCGCTGATTCTTGTTTGATCTTTAGCCAGGTATTGACGTAAGTGGCGAAAAGACCTGTTTGGCGTTGCTCGGGGGGAAAATGCCAGACTTCGTGGATCTTGACGAGGGTGTACCCCTTTTCGACGGCCTTGACCAACTCGGGCGTGCACCAGGTCCCACGTAGCATACGATCGGCATCCGAATGAGGGCAATAGTGGGTTCTGATCAACATGGGTTGGGCTTGTTCCGCCTGGACACAGGCACGGCGGAGAGGAAAGGTGAGCTTTTGGCCACAGCGCACAGGCAAGACGGGGTGGAATAGGCCAGCTGGGGGAAGAATGTCCACGGTCGCCAGACCAAAATAGGAATCCAGGGACTGGTCGGCAGGTTGGGTGATGATCCGTGGATGACCAATAGGGTAAGGACAGTTCTTGTTCACCCACGGGTACAGGGAGGTGACATCCACATAGCGTATCTCCTCGCCCTCCCCAGCCACGGCATGCAGGGCTACGGCGCCGGTGCGACCCCCAAAGAAGGCCTCGCGGGGTTCCAAAGGCGCGACCAGATCGAATGAACGAAGAAACTGAGATACAACAGGCTCATTGTCTACCAGGCGGTCCCACTCACACTCCTACATTTCGATCACCGTGTAGCCTGCTCGGAGCAGGGCCATGCGTTTGGAGAGCGTGGCCTCATACAGTTCCTCCACGCTTCGGTCCGGCACCGCATAATGCTTGACGGATCGGTTGGGATAGCAGCGGGGACAACCATGGTAGAGACAGCCATGAAACTCGTAGACAGTGCGAGTCAGGGGATCGTACCCATCGACGAAATAGCTGTTGACGATGGTTCGGACCGACTGTTCGCCCCCGTTACGGACGTGTCGAATGCGGTCGGCACAGGCCCCCTGCTTGGGAAGAAGGTGTTCTTGGTAATACAGCCATTGCAGGGCCTTGAGGGATTGGTTGACTTGGGCCCCTCGCCAGCCCCCCAGAGGTTCGACGGCAATGGTGTCGGGGGTCAAATGGTGCTTGCGCCAATACAGATTGCAGGCACTGGCGATGATGATGCATTTGGCCATTGGATTGAAACCAGCCTGCTGTTCAAATTCTTGTTGAAAGACTTCACAGCCCGCTTTCAACAGTGCCACATCCGATTTGCAATACTCGATCATTTCTTGCTGGAAATCAAAGGGCACATTACGACGGACTTGGTCCGCATGCCAACGAGTCAGTTCGTCTTTCTTTTTGGCCATCACACCCTCGGGATCGTAAAATTCCAAATCGGGGATGCGGCCCACATACTGTTGATGGTCGGGGGTGTTGAACAAATGAGGAAAGAAGCCCTTCTTTAATTCGGTCAAATTGAAGGTGCTGGGAAAAGAGGCCAGCGGCATGGGCAAGAAACACAACGAGTCAATGAATTTGAGGGGTCCGCTCTTGAAGGACAACACTTTAGCGCCCACGGTCAGTTGATCCACCACCTCGAGTTGTTGCTGGTACAGTTCGTGCAAAATAAACATGCCGTCGAAACCTTTCAAATTGTGAAACACCACGCGAATCTCCCGATCCTCCGCACTGTCCGGCACACGAACCGGGTCATCCAATTCGCGCAAAAATTGTAGGGCACAGTCCTCCCCGTCCAACAGATGAATGGTGGTTTCTTCGCTGGACGAATAGCACAACAAATCGGCCACAAACACTCCTTCCACATTCTGCATGGCTTCAAAATCCGCATAAACAAACAGGGGAGGGGGTGGCGCCACCATGCAACCTCCTCCCTCCTCGGTTGGTTCTGGCTCCTCGTCCTCCACCGTGGGTTGAATGTAACACTTATGGTCCTGGATGGGCACCCATGCCTGACACACGGGGCATTTGGCGTTCCCACACTGGTGACGTCTGTTAGGGACGACCGTGTACTGGGCCTGGCACTTGAGACAGGTTTTGATCGATTGACATTGCTTGCTGACTTCATGATGACGTTTGCAATACCCTCCGTAAAACTTGCGGTGACACAGACTGCAATACTCCATAGGGCGGGTACCGCGCACATAATCTTGACAATCAAATCGACCGCACGCGGAGCAGCGTCTCTCTTGACAGGTATGATTGGTTCGGTCGTTGGTGTTGAACCCCCGTTCGCAGTCCAGGCAATAATAGGAGCGGTTCACAAAAGTAGGAAAGGAAGTGCAACCATCAAAATGATCATTGGATTTGAGCAAACGAATCTGATGAGGGGCGGCGGGTCCTTTGAATATCAGAAAGAACGGTTTCATCCGGGTCATCACCAAGAGTTGATATTGAGACCCCAACGCCTGTTGAAATTGGCGAAGCTCGGGCAAACCACAGGGACCCTCAGCTACCCCCGCTTGCTGATGTAATGCCTGGGCTTGACGTTGCTGCACAGGACACCCACGTTTTAGATTCTCCAAGTCGCGAAACCCGTCCACGCCTTGATCTTTATGGCAATGGGCTCGCATGGTGACGATAGCACGGGCACAGCATAAAGTGTCTCTGTTTCGGATGGGGATGATACATTTTTTTTCTTGTTCTCTCGATCCAGACACAGTCGACCAGGATTGTGTTGTTTACGTCGACGAGACCCTGGGCCAGGCATGGATACAAACACCACATCCACTTGGAAACCACGATAGGGGTTGAAGGCTTCATTGCTGTTTAATTTACCGGCCAAGGTGGCCAACATCTCAGCTAAGCGAGCAGTGCGTTGTAAAAACTCCCCCACGGTGAAATTGGCTGTTTGATAGGCGTGGGTGAACCCATGAGCCGTGATGGCAAAATTGACAAAATGATGAGCGGGTCGCTGCTCGCGGTCCAGTTCCCTTTCAATGGCTTGGTGTAATGCTTCGGTCAAAGCCATGCCAATATTGTCCCCAGGGACAGGATCCCGCAATTGCCGTAACTGCGCATTGAATTGCGCGCGTTCCACCACCTCACGCCAACGGCGTTGTCGACCGATGGGTTGCATGGTGAATTGAAAGAGAGGGCCGCGGGCGGCAGCCCCTCCCAACTGTTACCACCGGTCATAGGCGCGGTCCAACAGAGCATCTTCCTCCTCGTCATCACTCAAGAGATACTCCTCCGCCATGACGGCGGAAACCAATTTAAATTTCCCGCACTTGGCGTTGACTTTTATAGACCGAACCACGTGATCCCTCACGAGCTGGGATTGGTAGACAAGGCTCAGGTGAGAGTCAGGTGAGGGGTTTGATCGACAGGAGGAAGATCAGGGGTGGTCCCCTCCATGGGTACAGATTCCTTCAGTCTCCTCTGGGCCTGGGCTGAGATCGGTGATTGGTGGAGTAGACCCTAGATATAATCCAACGTCCAGGACAGACGTCAGTTGTGTTCGAGATGCCCAACAAAAATCCCGAGAAGGCGAGACAGCTAAAACACGAGTGGTATCTGAAAAACAAAGAGAGAGTTTTGCAACAGAAGCGTGAACGGCGGGCGGCCAACAAGAAGCTGAAACCACCACGTCCACCCAAACCAGCCCCCACCCCTGAACAGAAAGCCAAAGCTCGAGAGGCGAATCGACAGGCCTGTCACCGTTGCCGAGCCACGCACGCGGCCCAAGTACGCAGCCTGAATCGGGACTACTATCAGCGGAACCGAGAGCGCATTGTGCAGCAGCAGCGGGACCGTCGTGCCAGGGTTCATCAGAACCAACCGTTCCGAAAGTTACGGGCGTTAGCAGACGTGTGTGCCGCCCGATTGCTGGAAGTGGAGCATGTATACGCCCGGATCGAGCCAGCCCCAAAAAACAAAGAGGGACCGCGAGAAAAATAAACGGAATCAAAAACTGTATCGGCAACGGCAATATGCGGCCGTGAACGGGATCGAGGAGGTGAAGACCCTCAACCGTCGGCGTTACAACGAACGCATGGCGCGTATGAAAGCCAACGGGGAGTACAAGGCCTTCAAGGCCAAAAAGGTCCAGGAGGGCATGCGGCGCTACCATGCCATGTCAGAGGAAAAGCGCAATGAGGTGAAACGCAAGAACGCGCAATGTCAAAAGAACTGGATGCAGAGAATGAAAGAGGAGGGGACCTACGAGGCCTACAAACATCGGTTGAATGTGCGGCGGCGGGCGTTGCAGGCGGAGAAAAAGCGAGCCTTGTGCGAGGAGGGGTAGAAAGCCTTACAGAAGCAGAAATATGAGAAGCGGGTGGAATCGATTCGGCGTCAACGTTGGCAATGGTTGGACGAGCAATTGGACCGTCCTTTTCCCCTCCCGTGGTTACCGTTAGATTGGGCCGAGTCCGAACCTGAGGAGGATACAGTACAAAATGTTCGTGCGAACGCGTTGGAGCAAATGGACCACTACTTGTGAGAACAAAATGAGTTTATTAAAACATGTGTTGTTGCAATTTAACAAGGTTGTCTTTTTATGACTGTGTTAACCTATTTTGTTCACATGCCCAATCGAAGTTTGGTTTTCATAATGCGTCGAACAATGCGCTCCGTCAGGGTTTTGCGGCCAGGGAGTTGATCAATCTTGGCAATCATCTTGGGATCCGCCACCCATTTATCTTTCAAGGTCTTGGCTTTATCATAGTCCATGTCATGCACTTTAGCAATCCTGTCTAACCGGTTGATGCCGCGATCCCCACGGACCAATCTTTTTTTCAAATGGGTCCCAGGTCCCATGTACTGATAGCCGGGCCAATGAAATTCAATGCCCGTCTTGTTGAGGAGGTTTTGCACATCAAATAACTTGCCCCCGCGTTGCGATCGTCGTCGCCTCATTTTTTTCAAATGGGTCCCAGGTCCCATGTACTGATAGCCGGGCCAATGAAATTCAATGCCCGTCTTGTTGAGGAGGTTTTGCACATCAAATAACTTGCCCCCGCGTTGCGATCGTCGTCGCCTCGGTCGGTCGGACGGCGTCTCTGAGTCCGTCCCACCACGGGGTTTTCCACGATTTCCAATCCAACGCTTTCTTGGCCAGACTGGTGGCTTTCTTTTTGGCGACACCGCCGGCTTTTTTGCGAATCCCGCGCTTGAGCGATTTCTTGATAGAGTGCACACGTTCACTGGGGGTATCCCAGGGTTCTGTTCCGGGCTCCTTTGAAATGGGCAACTCGTGCGCCAACTCGGCGCTGCTCGGTTGGGGCGTAAACTTGAGTTTCTTTTTGGCACTGGGGGTGATGTTCGGTTTGGGCGGGACAGGTGGTTTTCTGGGCCCACCAGGCGTGGACCCTTGTTTTATACCCCCTTGACCAATTGCGTGAACCACGCTTGCATAGGGCCCGCCTCAAAATCATCGTCGCCAGGGGTCGTGGCCCCTGCCGCGCTCACACCACCGGTCGGGGCCACAAACGGTTGGCGAACTTTTTTGGTCCAATGGCGTAATTGACGGCTCACGGCTTTGAGTTGAGGCCGTTTCCAGGCATCGGGGGCATCGCTGGTCAGGAGCACATGTTGTTTGGCGGCCAAATCGGCGGCTTTGGTCAAGCGGGTATCTTCGACCAATTCTTGTTTGTACTTGTCTCTTAATTGTAAAAAAGCAGGGGCGTTGTCCATTGTGGTGCTCACCATCTGGGGTTCCATGGTGCAACTGAGGTGTCTTGTCTAGCGCATGCAACGTTTATAATATCGGTAGAGTTCAGGCCAGAGGGCGCCGCCTCTCTGAGCCATCAAGATGGCGCGTCGTCGTTTCACGGAATGCGCGGGTTTGGCCATGGCGCGTAAACTCTGGGCGTGGGGTTTGAGCAACGTGATGGTGTGTCGGGAGCGGGGTACGGTGCCACGAAGGTTGTTCATCACCAATTCACTAATAGCATTGATCTGATCCGCATTCGCCATCCGCGACAATTCTTGTCGTTTGTGTTGATTGGCTTCTTGTAAGACGCTTTTCAAGAGCGGGGCTTGACGTTCCATGCGCCACTCCATGATGAATCTTGAGTTCAGGCAAGGACCAAGGTCTATTTATGGTAAAAATGGCCCCACACCTGCCACACAATTCGCCATGATAATGCGTTTGCATGCGATCTCGACACCGTGAACACAGGGCCGCGTCATACTAGTCGTCCCAGTCCAAAGCAAACGTGACGGCTTTTCTTTTCTTGGGAGTGGTCCCCTTAACGTCAGGGCGCCCGCCGTGGGCGTTTCTTCTTCTTGAACGCCTAAGGCGAGAGAGCCATCGCCAACATGGGTAGCACGCCTCCACGTTGCAATCCACGTCGACGGCGTCGTATTCGGGGGACATAACGATGTCGGCGTCCATTGGGTCCACGGACCATCCTCAATTGGAGTCTTGTTCCCAACCAGGCGTTTCTTTTATACCATCCCTAGAGACCGCAACGGAGGCAAACCCGTTCGACTTAACATCCGCTGGACCCGTCGTTTATTCGCCGCCCATTGCGCTGCACTGATCTTGCCCACTTTTTTCTTGCGCGTCGCTGCTTGAATGGCCTTTTTGGCGCCATAGCCCGCGGCACCACTGATGGCTCCGGCCGCCGCTGCCTTAGCTGCAGCAATGGCAGCGGGGATGAGGAACACTGGGAGGATACCCCCTCGTTGCTTTCGGCGTCGTTTTCGTCGTTGAACACAGTGCATGATGATCCCTTATCTGTCCGACGGAGGACACGCCTCTTGCCTTTTATACTATTTTTTTTTCACATTATAGAACAATTGAACGATTCACCCGCATAGCGTTTTCGTTTGCCGGATTCCACTTCTCGTCGGCGTTTTTCGGCAATTTTGATGGCGCGCTTGGTTTGATGATCCCCCAAGGCTTTGGTGATCCCATAAGCGGTTTTGCCAATCCCCATAATGAGACCCGGTGAGACACCCCCCACTTGACCATAGGTCCTAGGCCGTGGTCGTTTGGCGGGTGGTCGACGTCGGGTCGTGGTGCGTTTGCGTTTGCGTCTAGGGGCCATAGTACTTCGACATCGGCCACACATGGTACTGGGACGGTAGAAGGAAGGACACTGTTTTTTATATCTTTTTTCACGGGCGTCGACCCCGTCCACGGGCTCGGCCACGGCCACGTCCTCGGCGTGGTGGCGGTGGTGGACTTTGGCTGGAGGTTCGGGTGGAGGTGCGGCGCACGGAAGGACGGCCTCCCCCATCTTCGTACACCGTGGTGACGGTATTGGTATGCGTGATATTGCGAATGCGCCTCCCTCGAGCGCGTTGTTGAGCATCTTCATTGAGCAAATCCAACCGTCGCCTTAATCCCCGCCGTTGATCGTCCTCGTCATCATTGCCATCGTCGTCATCCGACGGAGGAGGGGAAGAATCCGCGGACGGGGGAGAAGGCACTCGGGGACGTCGTCGCGGTTGTTTGGCCGCGACGGTGGGACGTCCTGTAGGGGTCGTCACCGTGGAGGTAGTGGTCCTGGTCCCTGCCCCGGCGCTGCGGCGGGCGGTGGAGGGGCGTGAGGGAGCGGTGGTGGTCGTGGCGGTGGTGACAGGACGTGGTCTGGGTCGTCTGGAGCTGGTGGTCGTGGTGGCGGTGGGGCGTGTTCGGGTGGACGTGGTGGGACGGGTTTGAGTCGCCGTGGTGGTGGGGGCGGTGGTGATGGAAGCGGGTGGTGGTGCCGTGGTGGTGGTGGCCGGGGCGGTGCCGGTGCCGGTGCCGGTGCCTGCCACGGGTGGTAGAGTAAACGCATTCAAGGCATCGTCCACATTGACCGGGTAGGTCAGGTTAAAATCCTCAATCTCTTGATCCAATTGGGCTCGATCGACCGGTCGGGTCAATTGGGTCACCATGTCCGTGATGCTGCTAAGGTCCTGGAGGGCAGGAGGTGCTGTGGGGGAGCCCACACCGGCGGGCGAGAGGGTCGGGGTCTCCATGCGGACCGATAAGTCAAGTTGCTGTCCGCCTTCTCTTTGCCGACGTTGACGTTCGCGTTCTCGTTGCAACGCGTTTTCGAACGACAGGGACATCCACGGGGAGGGTATGGACTTGCGCCTTGCCTTCTCGGGGCGTTAAATGACTCCACAATCGGTAACGAT